CTTACGATGGGTAGACTGGTACACCTAGTTTCCCCTACATCTGCTAGTCTACCATTGTAAGAGTTCGCATGACTTAGTCAACTATGCTAAAGCCCATAATAGCATGTGGCTGCACACGGAAGTTTCTAGCATGAATAATCTTATGGTCCCTTTGAGCCTGGGTGGCGGTCCATAAAAAAACAGGCAATCCTGGTCTAGCCAGGTGCCTAGACAGGCAATCCTGGAATAACCAGGTACCTCAATCCACCCAGATGTGTATTAATGTTGCCACCTTAAATAAACCATTAATTAACAATCTCACATCTCTCATGGAAATTCACTCAACCAATCCACGTCTACTAGCATAACATGGCATAATAAGCAAATGTAGAGATAACTCCCAAGGGTTTGATAGTAAAACAGGTGATAGGTACTACCTCATCTACTTCCCAAAACCCACATATTAAGAGATCCTATTCATGCAATGTTTGAGAATTGAAACTAATGCATAAAAACTGGGTATGAAAGGGATATGATCAAACTGTGAACTTGCCTGCAATGTTGATGAAGATGATTCGCACTCAAAACTCTTGATAGTTCTACTCGTTACACTCCGGTCAATCTATCATAAGCAAGCAGTAGTAACCACACATAAGCAATCACTCAAAAGATCGGAGAGACCAAAAAAACAAATCGGAAAACTTCGAAACCAAGCAAATGACTCTTGCAACAGAAAACAATTTCTAACAGTACCAAAATTAACTGCATTTGGCCATATCAGAAAGTTTAGGTCAAGAGCTTCGATTTGCAAAAAGAATTAGCTAAATCGGAGTTATAAAACTCAAGTTACGACCAAACGAAGTTCAAACACAAAACTGTTTGAAATTCAAATTTTAAACTTTCAAAAACATGTTTAAGTTGTTTTACTGGATAGAGGGGATCATAACAAAGAAGTGGGCGTTGGTTTCGTTGGATTTGGACAAATGAGTAAAAAGTAGTGAACATTTGAAGATTAGGGACTAATCCGTGAAGAAACTAATTACATACGGGTCCCTGGCAGAAAACTAAAATAAAAGAAAAAGAGTAAATAGCGAACGCTCATCACCGATCGCTGCCGAACGAAAATCGTTCGCTACCAAACCCTAGCTAATGAACGCTCGCAAACTAAACTAATCAAAAATATAAAAACCGATCTAGAACTATAAAGAAAAACCGGGTGGGTTTTAGCAGTTATACCGGCTCGGGCGGTTCGGGGCGGTTTACGGTGAAAAACCGGCGGTGGCGGTTTGGATCGGGGCGGCGGCTCCGGCGAGGATGCGGACTCCGGCGAGTGCGGCGACGACGGGGATGGCGCGGTGGCGAGGCGCGAATGCAGCTCCGACGGGCGGCGGCTTCGTCCTCGGCGGCGGGGCAAGGCGCGGGTGGCTCCGGCGAGTGCGCGGGGCAGCGGCGGTGGCAAAGTGCGGTGGTGGCGGTGAGATCCGGCGGTGGCGGCGCGTTGCGAGGAGAGGCGAGGCGAGGAGAGAGAGAGGGGCCCGGGGCGGCGCCCTTTATAGGAGGGAGGGGAGGCGCGAGGCGTGGAGGAGGGGGCAAGGTGGACGTGGAGTCCGGCCGGACTCCGGCGGCGGCGCTCCCGTGCGGGAGACGAACTCCTGAGGGAGCTCAGGAACGGCGGTGGTGAGGCCTAGGCCGCGGCCTGGCTCGGGCGCGGGGCCGGCCCAGTCGGCGACGGGATTTTTAAAAAAACATTTTCTAGACGAATAAAATAAACAAATATTTATAAAATAAAAATACAACCTAGGCATATAATATATCAAAATTTTCAGAAAAAGATTTCCTACATCGTGAACATTTTTGTAATATCAAATAAAATCCACGGAAATTCAAATAAAGCAAAGAGTGCTTCTGCTCTAGTAAAATCCAGTAAAAATCATTTAAAAAAACAAAATTAATTCAAATTTATTTCTCTCAAATTTTCTGATGTGGGGAATCATGTTACCCTATTTTCCATATATTTTATTTTTGGAGAAAAATAATTTGAATAAAACTCAAATAACTCCAAATTGAAAATAAATTCAAAAGAACTTTGAATTTATTTCTTTGAAACTCCCAACTCATATTTCATATGTTTTGAGGAAGTCATTTTATCTTCGCTCGTGAAAATCATTGAGTTGTATAAAGTTCCTGGGTTGGAAATATTTTTCGAATGAAATTCAAATATTTTTCAACACCCCTTTTTCATTTAATTAAACGGAAGAAGTCATGTCATCTTCTCTCCAGGGTTTTGTGGTGAAAAGAATTTGAATTCACGGAGATCACGAATGCAAAAATGAAAGTTTTGGAAAGTCCTTTTATTCCCTCTCATTTAACTTTCAAAAGTTTCAAATTTCACTCAATTTCACACAATCAATCATAACTATCTATCTGTATAACATTCCAAAATTTTGAAATTTGGGATGTTACAATATAGGTCGATGTGTATGCAGATAATCTAGATGGAAATGACTTAGTATTGCATCCTTTGAATGCCAATCTGCCAACAATTGAATTGTGCATATAAAGCCAATGCAAGATGGACAGAGAAAACAAGCTAGAAAAGTGCAAAGACGTCAATGTTAATGGTAGGTATATCAATTCAAAGGGAATATTAGGTTTAATGAAGATTTGTTGTGTGCATCTAGGACTCGTGCTTATAGTCATGATCATAAGTGTTGTTCACTGGTGATGTTACAAGAGTACTCATGTTGGAGTTGGAGATGATGCCGACTCAATATCTTTTATGTGTGTGCGTTCATAAAGATGAGTGTATTTGTTTGTATGTGGACGTATGTGGTTTTAAAAAAAAAGTGCTCATGCTATTTCTTGACGGGTAAACAAAAGTACTCGTGTTGCCATGTTGCCACGAGCACAATGTAGTATTTTTTTTTGGAGCGGAGAGCATAATATGTACGTTCATGAGCACAATGCATTCTCTCTAATTAGTCATTGGACACCCGCAAAAAAAATTGTCACTGGACTTTTAATCTCTTCACTCCTCAATTCCCATTCCATTACGGGGTGGCAGGCCCGGTTAGCAATCTCAAACTTTGAATATAAAAAAAGATCCTATACCCTATTTATATTATTTTTTGACAACACCCCATTCCCCATTTCTAACTCCCACGAACCCACGCTGACTGTTGGGCTAGCCGGCCCGCTCTCACGAACCATCACCCTCCCGGTCCACCGAGGCCCGGCAACCGCTACGCAGCGGAGACTCGATAAACAGGGAAGCCCTAGCGCGTGAGCGGGTCAGTCCATCGCGTACCCGGCGACGCTCGCGGGAGGCTGTCTGGAGGCTGCGAAATCTCCCTGAGGCGCGCGGTGCCGAGGCCGCGGCGACCGGTGACGGCGAGGTCAGTGCCCCCGCCGTCCCTGCTCCTCCCTCTACCGCCCCGTTGCCTCCTGCACGTCAACTGCCCGCAGGTCTGACCTCCATCTTACCCCGTCCTTCTCCATCGCCGGGCGGCAGCATCCGACAGTCTTAGCCCCCGCCGGACCGAGCCTGCCGTGCCGTGCCGTGCCGCGTCCCCGTCCCCGTCCCCGTGGGAAGGCGGACTGTTTCCTCCGCAATCCTGTCGCGCGACGGCTCGCCCACTGAATTACCCTCAGGGGCCGCCGTTCTCCAACCGCTCTGTTCTGCACCCGATCGCATCCGTGCCCCGGCCGCACTCCCCGCTGACTTCTCCGCTTTCATGGCCCCTGACAAGCAGGCCTCGCATCTCCATATCCCGCAAAGAATGTTTTTCTCATCTTCTGTGCCCAATTCTACCGCTCGTGCTCTTCTGTCTTTTTTCCCTCCTGGCCGGTGCCCATTCTGCGGACGTGCAAAGGCTATTATGATACTTGCGATTACCAATTGCGAATCTAGGGTTTCGTGTACAAACGGTGTGTATTTTGTTGCTTTTGAGCTAGTTTTCTTCATTGCGGATTTATTACAGTTGCAAGGCTTGCTGTGACTCGGCAGTATATTAGGTGATTTAAATATACTTTGCACGAAAGGAGGTGGTGTAGGAAGCTTTGGATCTGAGTGGTGGGATGGAGAGGTAGGGGAATACTTTGGATCCGCCTTACGCTGGTTAGCTAGTTTATATTAGTGAAATGTGGCAATAGTGATATTGGCTTTCTTGCCATCTCAAAGCGTGTTTTCCCTATTAATACCCTCTGATGCCTCATCTTATGTACAGTAACTCCTGAATCTGGTATGATACCGCGAGATATGAAATAATATGCATCGAGAGAACCAAATAATAGCGATGAACAATCATGACAAGGGAAACTGCAATACCTAATTGCCTATAGCTGCAGAGCTGGATCGTGTTTCAGGTGAAGTATCTGAGATACCCATCCACATGTATCCAATCAGCTGTTAATATGGTGCATTAGTTCAGTTTGATGCTAATACCACATGAAAGATGTGTGTCTTGTGGTTCTTCCCTTTGGTCCTGCATTCCCTTGCTTCGTGTCATGCCTCCTTTGACCAGATAGGTATTACGTACACTCTACTGTAAACATAAGAGAAACGACAAGTCCATCCAAATCAACTACTTAGAAGATGCACGTGAACAATTGCCTCCAACATTTTGTTTATGTTGTTAATGACCATATTTGAAGGACAGGCCTGGTGCAGTGGTGAAGTACTCCACACTTGTGGCAAGAGGTCCTGGGTTTGAGGCAGCCTCTGCATTGCACTGTGCAGGGGTAAGGCTTGCCCCGTATAATCCTTCCCCGGACCCCAACTGGTGTGGGAGCTTCTAGCACTTGGTCTATCCTATTTTTTTTCCTTTCTTTCGTTAATTTTTTGTTAATAACCATATTTGTATTTACTTTATTGATGTAGGCCCCGGCACATTTCTATCGACTGAAAAAGCTTACTGGGTCATCTTCCCCTACAGAAAGTGGTTCTACAAGGCTTACCCTAAATCTTCCAGGATCGACCTATCAGTTTCCGCAGAGAAGGTCGGTCTGTGGTCATCATCTATATGGGCAAAACATCTGCTTCTGGTGTTGTTCAGGAGAATGAAAAAGTTGGGAATGGTTCACCCTCTTCTCCTACCAAGGGGAAAAGGGGAAGGAAAGGGTCCCAGATTATATCAAATAAAAAGTATCCCCTGAGATCTGCACATAGTAGTGCCAGGGTGCTTCGGTCTACTTCAAAAGACAAGAGTAAGACGCCTAATGAGCCAGTAAGTCCATTGAGATCCGCTCATAGTAGTCCCAGGGTGCTTCGATCTACCCCTAAAAACAAGAGCAAGACACCTAAAAAGCAAGTAAATTCATTGAGGTCCGCACATAGTAGTGCCAGGGTGCTTAGCTCTACCTTGAAGAAAAAGGTACCTAATGAGCCAGTAAACAACAGTACTGCTGCTCAACCAGCTGCCAGGAAAAGGAAAAGAGGCAGGCCCTCAAATGCAGCGAGTCCCAAGAATGAGTGCATCAAAATTCGCCAACGAGTTAGATACATTTTGAATCGAATGAACTACGAACAAAGTTTCATTCAAGCCTATGCTGGTGAAGGTTGGAAAGGTCAAAGGTTTGTCTCTCTAATCACTATGTTTCACACTCCCTTTGATCTCTCATTTCTTTGTTTGCTGGATCCTGGTGTTGTACATCTCAGAAAAGGATCAATTTAGCGAGGCAAATTTTGGTAAACATTAGCCAGTGCAAATAAAAAATCCGAGTTAGGGTTTATGCCACAGCGGGGTTGAGAGGGTACATAAGAAAGTCATGTAATGTGTCCTTGTGATCTATAAATTCAGATATGGGTGTATCTATTGTTCTCTTGATGTTGTTTAACATCTCCACCCTCTAACGCTATGTTTTCTTAATACTTGCATATGTAGTTTGGAAAAAATAAGACCTGAGAAAGAGCTTGAGCGAGCCAAGGCAGAAATCTTGCGATGCAAGTTAAGAATTCGGGAAGCTTTTCGTAATATGGATTCTCTTCTATTGGAGGGGAAGCTTGACGAATCTTTGTTTGATTCTGAGGGAGAAATATCTAGTGAAGATGTAGGCCATCTTATTTTGTTCACTCTTGTTTGTTTATACTCATTGTTGTCATTTTAACAGACATAATCTGTTTTGTCTTGCAGATTTTCTGTGCCATTTGTGCTTCAAAGCATGTTACGCTAAAAAATGATATCATTCTTTGCGATGGAGTGTGTGATAGAGGATTCCACCAGAAATGTTTGAATCCTCCTTTGCTGGCAGAAGATAGTAATACCTAATTCTCTTCCCTTGATATAGAAAGCACCATTCCCTATGTTGCTCATGTACTTAATAACGTTTATTTCTAGTTCCTCAGGGGGATGAAGGATGGCTTTGCCCTGCGTGCGATTGCAAGCTAGATTGTATAGATTTACTAAATGAACTCCAAGGGAGCACACTTGCTATTCATGACTCATGGGAGGTAAATACCTACTGGGTCCCTTGTTTGTGAGAAAGTAATGTACAGTCCTCTATCGCCAGCGTCCCCTCGATATAAACAAGACTATTTGTTCTCCGCAGAAAGTTTTCCCTGAGTCAACTTCGAATGGCTTAAACCAAATTGGTGCATCTGATCTTCCATCCGATGATTCAGAGGAGGATTATGACCCTACTTTAGCTGAAGGGGACACGGTAGATGAAGACAAATCATCTGCAGAGGATGGGGATGAAGGATCAGATTCTGATGACCTGGATTTTATAACATCATCCGATGAGTCTGAACCTTCAAAGAAGAAAAAGTCTGAATCAAAGAACAAAAATACCGTCAATGACCTCGCGTTGCCTTCGGATGACTCAGAGGATGATGACTTTGATCCAGAAGGTCCAAATTCCAGTGAAGACCAAAAGACCAAAACAAACTCAGACGAGTCGGACTTCACATCTGATTCTGATGATTTCTGTGCCGAGATTTCTAAATCTTCTGGCAAGGACAAAGTTTCGGCACCTTCATTCTCAGACCAAACTAATGGAGTGGACATTATGGAGGCAGAGCTAGAGCAAGACTCTGTGCTACCAGCTTCAAACAGGAGACAAGTTGGAACTTTGGATTACAAAAAGCTTTATGATGTATGTCTTCTCCTCGCATTTCTCCATACCATAAATGCATGTGTTTTCACCTAAAAAAATGCATGTTTCTTATATTCAAATTCCTACTTGAAAGCATCTTCTCTTTATTTTGGCATGCTGTGTTGGCCTGAAGAATAAAGCCCTAATTTACTTGGGAAATAAAGGCCATTCAATATGAGAAATATATTTATGATATAACAGAAGTTGTCACCCTTCTGCATCTTCACTCGGGTTGTTCCCTTATTGTGAGTGGTGTGTGGGTAATTTTGGCTCAGTTTCAGGGTGTTGCCTTATTGGGAGTGTCGTACAAATTATTTTGGCTCAGTTTGGGATTGTTTCTTTATCGGCAATGATAAATCCCGAACGTTTGGATTTTAAGCATGGCAACCCGAACATTTTTTATGGCAACTTTAGTTCACGTGAGGTTGTTAAACATTGCAATTTTCTGACAAAAAAACGAACTGGGACAAAGTTGCCATGTCTTACAACTAAAGTTGCCACCTCGCGCCAACTAAAGTTGCAATGTAAAAACGTTCGGGATGAAATGCTTAAAATCCGAACGTTCGGATTTTATCGGGGTCCTTCTTTATTGTATTATACATATTTTCACTAAGTAATCAGTGCGTTGTTTGTGAAAATCATATCATTCATTAAAGCTATCCTGTTCTTCAATAATGCATGCATGGACCTTACTTGGGTTATTTCTATTTATTTTATATTGGAATCTAAAGGAGGCTTATGGAAAAGAAACCACTGATTCAAGCGATGAAAAAGAGTGGTCTGGACATAGCCCAAATGGAAATCCAGAAGACAGTGATACAGATTCATTTGCTGGACCACTTAAGCCGGCAAAAACCAGAAGAGCACGAGGTGGGCGCCAGAACAATGAGCGTACTCCACAGAGTGAACGGCACAGTGGTTCAGTAAGTGAACAGCATCCTGAAGTGCTTTCCAACGGCACCAGTAGCACGGCCAGGAAAAAAGGTTATGGTCCTATTGTTAATCAGGTATAGAATAGCTAACTATGCACCTCTACAGTTATATTGGTGCTGATAGTTTATATCAGTTGCATTCTAAATTATGTCATTGGCACTCCATTTCTCTTGCAGAAGCTTAAGGCATATTTCGAAAAAGAACCTTACCCTAGTCGCCCAGCAAAAGAAAGTCTGGGACAAGAGCTTGGCCTGACATTCCATCAGGTTTGAAATGCCAGTTTGTCCTTTCATCACAACATGCATTTCTGGCCACACCCTTTTTTTTTCAATGTTAGCTGCACTATTGTTGGGGGTGCCCCTGTATTTCTCCTGCCTCACTAGAGTTTCTGTTGACAGATCACTAGATGGTTTTCTAGTACTCGTCATTACTCAAGAGTTACTGCTACCAAGAAAGGGAAGCGTTCAGAAAACTATACTGCTGAGAACAACGATGGCATTGCTGCGGATAGCATACAACAGAGAGAACCCAATGGCAGTGTATTGGGCAAACCAAATGTAGATAGAAACGGTATTATTTCGGAGGAAAGGATGGCGCAAAAAAATCTTGATGAAGGTGAGAAAGAAGATACTCCATTCAGACAACGTATCAGCTGTGAGCAGACACTGGATGGGACTCCTGCTAACAAACACAACACTGCCAACTCAAGAGAAGTTGACCCACCAATTGGTGCGCCTGGAGGAAACCAGCAAAGTGACACCTCGAGGAATGCAGAAGATACCCCACTCGGACAAGATATTGGCTGTGAGCAGACCGTGGCTGCTATCAACCAAAACTGCACTATCGGCTCGAGCAATGTCGGGTCACCGAAAGGTGTGCCTGGAGGAAACAAGCGCCTTAATAACTCTCCGAGTGTTGGAAGCCCAAGACGTGGGTCTGCCGAGAAGAACATTCCTGGGCTAGAACATGTTGATGAGGCAAGGAGGAAGGCTATACTGCGGGAGCTGAGGAAGATGAAGGCCGCAGGCAAGTGAAGCTCCCAGAGAGGTATCGTTTGAACCATTTCCGAACCTTCAGTGCAAGTCAAGTTTTAGATGCTACTCGACAAGTTTGAACTCTGGATTGCTTCGCAGCCAGAGAAGATGACTGACAGCCGAATTGTTGTGCCTCATCTGTTTCAAGTTCATCAGTTGACAAGCCTGCTTATCGTAGCCCTGTTTCTCTATAGAGCCTCGAATTTCTGATTGGGTACACCTGGAATCTGAAGTACTTCATCCACAACAAGGGTTAAGCTGGGTGTAACAGTATTAGCGTAGCCTGTAGACTCTAGTGGACATTAGAACTGTTGTTTGCCATGTTCTTGTATCATCTTGATGGGTAGCCATGTTGAGAGAAACTGATGCGAACCGTTGTTTGGGTTGTATCTTGTAAACATGCTGTGAATTGAGAGTAGTTCCTTTCATTTTTTTTCCTGAGAGTTTAATGAAACGAGATCAATGACATCATATCTGGGATCTGTGACATGCAATTTCACTAAGAGTACGATCGTGATCTTGGTTCTCGTTCTGTTTTATAAACTGGATCAATCTCTTCTTCGAATGAGATCATATTCTAGCCCGGGAGCAATCTTTCTTCCTGTGTCCCAGGAGAGGTTCTTTTTGTGCTGTACACTCAGGGCTCGTCAAACGCCCCCTATACATCCGGCCGGGCAGCTGGGTTAGTGACCTGCCATAAAATTGTGACCTAGTTGGGCTCCTCAAATCGGCCCTATACACGTCTACCATGTCAAGACTAGATCGGACCCGCCTCTAATTGCATCAAATTGACAAGTCCACCAAATCCATCGTCCTCCCACGCCTCCGTTTCCCATGTCTCAGCCATCGTTCTCCACCCTTGCTCCCCCATCCGCGCCGTCGCCCTAGATGTCATCTCTGGTACCCCGTCCCCCATCGGCGGCATAGATGTTGCCTCGACGTTGTCATGGAGCTCTTGACCGTGGTGACGAGTTGCAAGGTGGAGAACGTCATCCGGAGGGAGTGGCAAAGGAAGCAACACGAGCAAGAAGCGACAACGGAGAAAGTTTCGGCCAAGGGTGTTGTGGACGTCGAGGACGATGTGTCCCCTCCGCTGAGCCCGGTCGCCCCAAGCCCGTCCATCCTACCACTGACAAGGAAGCCACTGTCTGCCCCGCCTGCGACCGACAACGATCCGACAGCCGAATGGGCGATTACGGAAACGGTTGTGCGGGACGACGAGGTGTGCAACTCGCCGCAATTTCAAAGGGCGCGAAAAAGCACGGGCAACTCTGTCGCCCGGTTTGCCTGGGCCCGGGTCAAGGTAATGTCCTAGCAGGAGATGGTACAATTTTTTCTCTATTTTGTATCACTTCGTTCGTTATATCGTTGTGGCATTGGATCAACTTTTTTTTGCATATTCTGCTAGTGTATTTCGAATCATGGTCATTTTAGGACAATATCATATCGAACATGATCAATGATGGTGACCCTATGGAATGACTTTGGGGATCCAAATTGTCCTAGTTTGATATTGGGGAACATCACGCACTAACAAGAAAAGAACGACAAAGATACCCAAGGCAAGAGGTCCGACATTCACAACATCTGAGGATATTTTGGTTGAATCTTGGTTGACCACAAGCATGGACTCTATGTGGCACCGAGCAAAATGACAACAAGTATTGGAAGAAGATCCACGATATCATGAATGCAAATAATATGTGAAGCCGCATCCTATCGATACCACCCGCAATGTGGCCTCTCTCCAATATAGATGGTCCGCAATCCAAGACAGGACTAACAAGTTTGTTGGTCACTATGCTTCCGTGCTTGGAAGAAATCAAAGTGGGATTGGAGTCCAAAGTCACATAAGTTGAATTGCTTCTTTTTGTCATAATTTGCATTGGTAGTTTTTTATGTCGAACTATCATGATTACTTTATTGTTTGATAGATGGTGTTGGTTGACACTTTGTACCAACAAACGAGAAGAGGCTATTCGGTTTTAGCCATTGTTGGATGAAATTGAATGGCCAACCAAAGTGGATACAACTTGTGAAGAGCTCAAGACCGGCAACAAGAGGTTGAAGAAAACTGGTGGTTCAAGCTCCCACCAATCCATTGGATTGGATGATGAAGAGGAAGAAGTTGCAGGGGAGATTGGACGAGCCATCGTGCTAATGAATAACCCATAACTGATAGGAAATAAGGGAGAGAGGGGGGGGGGGCGTGAATCCTCGGTGACAAAAAGGCCCAACACATGGATGGACATTTTTTTCCACAAGCGAGGACAAGAAAGAGAAGAGGTACATGCTCATGTTGGATGAGCACAAATAAAGGATGGATTAGGACTGGGAGAGGGTGGTCAACAAGTTACAAATTGAGAGCAACTATTTGAAATTTGAGATAGAAAATAGAGTTGGAGAAGAAGAGATGAGACTCAGATGGGAGCTCAAGAAGGAGAGGTTGCACTTGCTCGAGAGACGGAGGATTCAATGATAATGTTGGAGTACGCAAGCCTCTTGGATGAGAAAGACAAAAGGTGGCTTGAGGGGAAGAAGGAGACCAACCTGCGTAGAGAGTACGAGGGGCCGCAACAGCGAACGCGACATGGATGTTGTCCGACGAGTGATTCATCTTTTTTTAGGCTCCCATCTTCATTACTATAAAAAGTATTGTATGTTACAATGGTAGAGAAAAAGAGAGGAGGAAAGCTAACAAAAGATCCTACAAGAGGAAAAAAGAAGTTTATCCAACTCGAGTTTTTTGGAACAAGATCATCATTATATCAGAAGATCTGAGCTAGCCAAGACTTGAACTCTGCTGCATATTTACTCTTGATCTTTATTTGAGCAATTTTAATTCACGTTTAAGAGTAAATCTTCAATTTTGGACAGTTGGTTGAATGTTTCAGAAGACCAGCCCATTTCTCTGAATCCAATGCTCCAACATCCTAGGATAGTCATCGCCGGACCAAAGTGAGCTAGTAGTTCTGTGTTGCAAATAATGTTTCCTCAAAAATAGATGTGCCTCTCTTTTTATTGGGCATCAAAGTGCTCCAACATTTTTGGGCAAATCCGTTGGGGATTGTTGCAGAAATTATTACTTTTTTACGCATCACCAAGATCAATCTATGGAGAAACTAGCAACGAGAGAGAGAGGAGTGCATCTTCATACCCTTGAAGATCGCGACACGGAAGCGTTACAAGAACGCGGATGAAGGAGTCGTACTCGTAGCGATTCAGATCGCGGTGGATTCCGATCTAAGCGCCGAACAACGACACCTCCGCGTTCAACACACGTGCAGCCCGGTGATGTCACGCCCAATATGCGACCCTATCCAAAAGGAACTCGAAGGTCCCACCAAGGATAGACCAGCATATTGAAACGCTTTTGCAAGGTGGATATCATTACATCAATATTACATAATAGATGGGGATACATACAAGAGGCATACAATGCCACATGAATACAACATCACAATACATAAGATCAACATCCGAATACGGATGAAACACAAACAGAAACTCAAACGACATCCACCCTGCTAGCCCAGGCTGCCGACCTGGAACCTATCCCCTGATCGAAGAAGCAGAAGAAGAACTCAACACAAGCAAGCATTGCTCTCGCGTCATGATCATCGCATAACCTGTACCTGCAACTGTTGTTGTAGTAATCTGTGAGCCACGAGGACTCAGCAATCCCATTACCATGGGTATCAAGACTAGCAAAGCTTAAAGGGAAAGGAAGGGGTAAAGTGGTGAGGTTGCAGCAGCGACTAAGCATATATGGTAGCTAACATACACAAATAAGAGCGAGAAGAGAGGCAAAGGAACGGTCGTGAAGTTAGCAATGATCAAGAAGTGATCCTGAACTCCTACTTACGTCAAACATAACCTAAAACCGTGTTCACTTCCCGGACTCCGCCGAAAAGAGACCATCACGGCTACACACACGGTTGATGCGTTTTAATTTGGATCTGGTGTCAAGTTATCTACAACCGGACATTAACAAATTCCCATCTGCCTATAACCGCAGGCACGGCTTTCGAAAGATTATACCCTCCAGGGGTGTCCCAACTTAGCCCATGATAAGCTCTCGCGATCAATGAAGGATATTCCTTCTCCCAGGAAGACCCGATCAGACTCGGAATCCCGGTTTACAAGACATTTCAACAATGGTAAAACAAGACCAACAAAGCCGCCCGAATGTGCCGACAAATCCTGATAGGAGCTGCACATATCTCGTTCTCAGGGCACACCGGATTGTCCAAACTTCCGGTAGGCCAGCCCAGAGTTGCCCTTGGTGGCCACCGGCGGCTGACAGGTTGGACCAACACTCACGACGAGCACTGGCCCGGGGGGGGGGGATAATATAAAGACGACCCTCGAGAGCGCGACTCCCAAGGGAAAAAAGGCTAGGTGAGGCAAATGTAAAACCAAGGTTGGGCCTTGCTGGAGGAGTTTTATTCAAAGCGAACTGTTAAGGGGGTCCCATAAATCACCCGACCGCTTAAGGAACGCAAAATCCGGGAACATAACACCGGTATGACGGAAACTAGGGCGGCAAGAGTGGAACAAAACACCAGGCATAAGGCCGAGTCTTCCACCCTTTACCAAGTATATAGATGCATTAATAATATAAGAGATATTGTGATATCCCAACCAAAATCCTGTCCACCATGGAGTAGTCTTCAACTTCACCTGCAACTAACAACGCTATAAGAGGGCTGAGCAAAGCGGTAACATAGCCAAACAACGGTTTGCATAGGAAAGGTGTCAAAGGTTAGAGGTTCATGGCAATATGGGAGGCTTGATGAGCATAAGATAGGGAAAGCAGCAAAGCGATAGAACGAAGCAACTAGCATAGCAATGATAGTAGTGAGATCCAGGGTAGCGGTCATCTTGCCTGAAATCCCACAAGGAAGAAGAACGAGTCCATGAAGAAGATGAAGCCACGAAGACGAACTAAGCGTAGACGAACGAATCCTCACGATCGCAATGAAACAGGAACTATCAAA